CAACATCGTGGTGAATCGCAGGCTTGCAGTGATATTTAAGTCACAAAGCGGTTATTTTGGGGTTCCATCATCGATGAAGTGAAAGGTGGAAAGGGAGAGAAATCAGATGCAACTTGCCAGTGAAGATATGAGAGGGAGGAGTTCAAGTCGCCGGTGAGGAGGGTCAGGGAGGCAAACTCGATAGTGAGGAGGTGAGGATATAAGATGCAAGGTGCAGAATACCAATATGAATTGTTTTAACAAATACATTTTCTAAATAAAAAATTAAAAGTAAAAATCTGAATATTAAATTGAAAGGATAAAATTGTCTTTTTATGTTTAATAGGGACCAAACGCGTGATAAAAACATATAATAGGGATGGTACGAGTTAAAAATTCTTTCTAGGGACCGACCACGCAGATTACCCCAAACCATAAGGACGATTCGTGTAATTTACCCATAAATAAATAATAGTTTATTATTTTATAAATAAAGAAAATAAATAAAAAAATAGTTTATTTATCAATATTAATAAATAGTTTATTTGGATTGGTTTCTTATGATAAACTGTATTTTGCAATTGCGTATCTAGCATCTTGTTATAGTCTTTTTTTGGTGTAATACATTACACTATTAAAAAAAATAGATAAATAAATAAAAAATTAAGAGCCACTTATTTAATTAGAAGTAATTAATTGACTACCTTTAGGTTTAATTAAGTAAATGTTTGTATGACTTTCTGAAATCCCAACCAATTGATACAAATATTACCATAATTAAATGTTAAATGCATTTATTATGGAGCTTATTAATGTACTTCACATTTAATTATGACAATATTTCCCATAATAAATGAATTTCATATTTAATTATAGTAATATTTGTGATAATTAATGATTCTTATATGTGCCCTTAGTGCACATATTAGAAAATCCCTAAAAGAAACTATGGTTTACCATGTTTTTTCATACTACGGTTGAGCAAAAATCGATCCAAACCAATCGAGCAGAAACTAACGCAACCCATTAAACTAACCTACATGTATTATTTTATAATTTGATCATATATTCTTTATTTCTTTTCTTTTCCCACCGCTAATGGATATTGGAAAACGTCACAATGAAGCCACGAACCTTAGAATCTCCAAACCCAAATTGAAATAAGTCTCTAAGTCTCTTGTAGTCTTCACCTTAAATCCTTGTCTTAGACTATTGAGGAACACTAAGACAAGTTGTCTTCGTGACGACCGATGACTTACGTTGACGATTAACGAACACAAAGACAAAGTCATGAACCCACATCTTTCCTGCTTTGCGGTTGCTACTTGTCCTCGAACCGTGTTTTGTTAAATACACATTTCATTTGGTCTATTTTTCCATAAGTTTTCACCCACATTGGAATTTATCGAATATGCAAGTTTTTAACCTCTTTTGTACAAGTGTTTAAGTTCTTTTGTTGTTAAATCAACTTTTCATTCTTATATGATATATTCACATTGATACTATGTTATTGTTAGTCACTTCAATGCATCTATCTTTTACAAAATTATACAAATAGTGGACCTGATTGGATGATTGTAAAAAATGATGGTGGAATTGATTGTATGGTTGAAGAAGTCGTGTTAAAGTTTTTTTATAATTTCAACTTAAACTTTCAGTTTAGATCTGTGTTTATCTTTAACGAACTTTTAGTGACGTTAAAGTTTTATTGTCTGTTTTTTTTATTGTAGAATTCATACTTTTACCATTTCTTAGTTAATAGTTATTCTAGTATATTAAACTAGATAAAATTTCGTTTATAACAGCATACTTTCATTGGGTTTGAACCCAAAAACCTTAAAAAAAACCGTGAATTCACAAACCCACTTTTTCAAACCGAAAACCCATAAAATTGAATCCATCTAGTTTTTACAACCCAAAAAAACCCAATATATACGGTTTAGGTTCGGGTTTAGTCCAAAACCAACTTACTGTCGCCCCTAAAAAAGGGGATTATGACCCTAGATGGTAACTAAGTATTGAGTTTGTTTTCATTTGGTCCCCTTTTTTTTGTATCCAATATACCATCGAACTTGTTGTTTGTGTTCACCATAACCCTTTTGACCGACTTTTGACCTGTGATAGTCAGTCAAAGGTTATGGTGAACACAAACAACAAGTTCGATGGTATATTGGGTACAAAAAAAGGAAATGGACCAAATGAGAACAAACTCAACAGTTGGTTACCCTCCAGAGTCATTTTCCGTTTACTCATTTACAGAAAATCTCACGCCATCTCTTGCTCATATTAATGACTTTATAATCTTGTACATATTGATGTTGTATCTTATCCCATGAATTCGATCTTAAAGCCAAGTAAACTCAAAATTCACAGCACTTGTGATTCCATTCGTTTGTAGACTTGTCCAGAATCCATTCACAGCACCTGCTCAATCAAGATTCTCCTAATAAATATTCAAGTGTATTACAAAGTTCTACATGTATGAATAATGTTATTTCGTAGGTTATGTTTTAAAGAGAAGCAATAATGAATCTCATAAAGTCATTAATATGAGCAAGAGATGACATGAGATTTGCTGTAAATAAGTAAAGGGAAAATGATTGTGGAGGGTAACCAACTGTTGAGTTTGTTCTCATTTGGTCAATTTCCTTTTTTTGTACCCAAATAACATCGAACTTGTTGTTTGTGTTCACCATAACCCTTTGACCGGCTATCACAGGTCAAAAGTCGTTCAAAAGGGTTGTGGTGAACACAAACAACAAGTTCGATGATATATTGAATTAAAAAAAAAATAAAGTGACCAAATGAAAACAAACTCAATACTTAGTTATCCTCGAGTCATTTTCCCCTTAAAAAAAAAAAAAGAAGCTCATATTACCATCGTATCACAGTTGGCATGTACCCAAGTTTAAGAAAGTCTCAAACTCACCTATTTGATCATATGGCGATCATTCACATTTGATCTAAGATATATATACTTTTTTTTAGACTGCAATTCTTCAATAAAAAAATTATTTCTGCTTTTGTAATGATAATGATAGCAAATTAGCAAAGTTCGATCTAAATTATATTTTTTATATTTTGATTTTTGTTGATTGGAAAAAGAAAAAGCAAATAAACTATAAACCCCACGAGAGATAGATCTAAGACACCGACTCCTTCACCAGGCTGGTAGTGAATACTCGCCACTCTCACATGGCTATCTCATCGTCTTCATCCCCAAAGGGAATTGTAATACCGGTACCGGTGTTGGTGCTCTCCGCCGCCGGCGCCGCCATCTTCCTCTTCTTCCTCCTCTCCTCTCTCTCTTCTTCACCGACCTCCTGTTCCTGCCCCACCACCACCACCACCACCGCTTCCACTGCCGTCGTCCAAACTAGTAGACAACAACCACAAGAACGGATCTCGGCTTCGGAAGATGACATCGATTGGGTGAAGACCCAGATCGAAGTGAATGGACTGCATATGCAGGATAATGTGCTCCGCAAGGGTATCAATCCTCGTACTCGCGCCCAACAGCTTCAGGATTTGATCCAGTAAATTACTCAACTATCTGTCTTCTTTTTCATCTCGTTTTGCAATCACTGCAATTTTAAAACCGAATTGAACAGTTGTGTACTATAACAAATTGAAATCAGTGGTGCTTAATCTTTTGGCATGATGATATTAATTAGTAGATCTATTATTGACTTGTTTCATCACAATTATAGGTACAAAGGGATATCACATTATGAAGAAGAAGAAGAAGCAAAGAACCACACAGCCTTTCCATGTCCAGGTGAACTCCTAGTAGAACAACACCACAGTAACTATGGAGAACCATGGGCTGGTGGGAGAGATGTATTTGAGTTCCTTGCAGAATCCTCTCACTTAATTCCAGAATCCCGTGTTCTTGAAATCGGATGTGGTACACTTCGAGTTGGCTTACATTTCATCCGATACTTGAATCCAGAACACTTCCATTGTTTAGAAAGAGACGAGCTCTCTCTCATGGCTGCATTTAGGTATGAACTTCCTGCACAAGGGTTGCTTTATAAACGTCCTTTGATCTTGAAAGGTGAAGATATGGAGTTCGTGAGATTTGGGTCTGGATTTATGTATGATTTAGTGTACGCGAGTGCTGTGTTTCTTCATATGCCTGATAAGCTTGTGTGGATTGGATTAGAGAGATTAGTAGGTCGATTAAAGCCTTTGGATGGAAGATTATTTGTGTCTCATAATGTTAAGTTTTGTTCAAGATTGGGTGGAGATGAATGTAGCAAAAGATTGAAAAGTTTAGGGCTTGAGTACATGGGAAAACATACACATGATAGTTTATTGTTCAATCATTATGAGATATGGTTTGAGTTTAGAAGATTTACAATGTAAAGATTTCGTAATTTGGTTTCTTTTGTTTGTGGAAACCATGTAAACTTTTAAGTTTTAACCTCCTTAGGCTACTCATACAGATTTTGATGTCATTTTTAATTCTTTGAAGGAGGAAAACAGAGGTGCAGTTGTATAATGTAACACACATTGCTTAAATGAACAATCCATTTGTTTATTTTTGTTATTACTTAACAATTTAACATTGTTGATTTGCACAAGGGTTTATGTCATGACTTAGCAACCAACTTTTGCATGTTAACATTTATTTCAATTTGTAACACCACGAATTTCAAAAAATAACTTACAAAAACTCTTCATGTAAAAAAAAGTGTCAACAAAATAAATGGTAACTAGCCAAATCGGCAAATAAACAGTTATGATTGGGTGTTACATAATCATCATAAATACATCTAGATATCTCAAATATATCTAATACAAAAAGCTATCTTCCTTTTATTATATCATTCCTCCAAACATACATCTTCCACACTTTCCTCGATTATCTGGAATACACATCAAAAAAGAAAATAAGTGTTAGAGCCTAGTGAAGACAATACCTTATATAAACATATCAAATACAATGATTAAAACACTTGGATGAATTTGTAACTTCATGAAAAAGTGAAAACAGAAATTACCATTAAAGAAAGGCTTTAGGTGGAAGTGACAACTCCAGTAGAAGCAAGATCAAGCTCCTTTCTCCTAAGATACTCATGCAAAATCGTAAGCCTAGCTGTCTCAAATGCAAAATACCCTAAAGCTGAAAAACAAGCACTATGAACAACTCTAGGTCCCATTCCTCTTGTGAATCCTACCCACCCTTCTTCCTTCAAAATCTGCTTCACCATTTCAGAAACACCGTAAGAAATCTTTTCTGAATGAATCTGAGTCATCAACCTGGTTTTCATTACATCCAATGGTGTTGTCAATGAAGCAGAAATGGCACCAGCTAATGCCCCACAACAAACACTCTGAAACGCCTCCAAATTGGGCTGTTTCGTCTTCCTCAAAACTGCAGCTTTTAGGTACTCGAAAGATGAATAGCTCAAAACCCCAGCAGGCAAGTTCCTCAGCAATGTCGCTGAGTAACCTGCGTACAAACCCAAAACGCCATCTTTCTCCAAAATCCTTAACAAAACCTCCCAAGATCTACCTTTTGCTCCTGCTTGCATTCGTTGAGTGATTAATTCCTTCGGCACCATAATAGCTGAAGACATTATGTTACCCATTGCACCAGCTGTTGGAGGGATTAGAACAGATGGGAAATTCGGCAATTTCGACAACACCGATTTACCGAATTCACAGGTCCCAAAGTAAATGGCGGAAGAGGCGGTTGACCCGACAATAACAGCGGAAACGCCTGAATAAAACCCTAGAATTCCCTTGCTTTGAAAGGTCTTGACGACGGCATCGAGGGTGTTGTCGTAAATCTTAGATGCACCTTTGGTTTGTAGTTTTGTTTTGATGGTGTCGAGTGGGTGGAGACACACGTACGTGAATGCGCCGGCGATTCCGCCGGCACCGGCGCCGATGAGGGCGCGTTCGAAAACTGAAAGGGTCTTGAACAGAGCGATAGACTGGGGTGAGCCTCGAGTGGTGGGTTTGAGCCAGTTTAGAGATTGGGGTTTATCGAATTGAGATTGTGAGGTTTCTAATGAGATTGATGTTGATGCGAATTTGAGATTGGTTGACGGTTGTCGTGGTGATGGCGATGACAGGATAACGGTGTTGATATGGGTGAAGAACGAATTGAAATCGGTGATGGGATTGGATTGAGTTGGGTAAGGGGATATTGAGTGGATGAGGGAGAGTGATCTAGAATTGGGATTTTCCATTGGAGAAGAGTTGTTAAGAGTTCTACCGATTTGTTTTTGGTGTATTTGCAAGGTTTTCAGAAGGAAGCGCCACCAACCGAGTCCGAGGACGTGCTCAAACGCAGGGCTTACATTTTGTGGTTACTTTCCAAAATAGTTTTTTCTTCAATTACTTTTACACAAAAGCCTTCAAGCTTGTTAAAATTTGATCGTTTAAATTCTTCATTACTTGGTGATATTTACACAAAAGCATTTAAGTTTGTTAAAATTTGACGGTTTAATCTTATATACAAATTTATATGTAATAAAGTAGTTGAGAAGCATTTGTCACTAATGCTTTTTTTTTTATCAGATGACTCTCTACACTTTCGGTAGCCTTCCTTTGTTGGAGGACAACATGACTCATACCCGATGAAACACATACCCCTTAGCGCCTATGCCACGGTGAAGCAGATACTCCTCAGCGCCTCCTAGTCTTCCCCGGTGAAGTAGATACCCTTCAATATCGACGCCACGATTAGGCTGGCACCCGACAATTGAGGTGACCAGTCAGAAAAGACGGTCACCCGGGGATAGCTGTAACCAACCAAGTTGCGATTTACCCAAAGTCACTTGTCTTTCAAGTTTTTCATGGGCGCTTTCTATTTAACAATGAACATATGGATGTCTCGCCTTTGAGAGAAGGTACGGACGTCAGATTGAGTGGAAGAGTTGAAATAGGCTTTGAAAGCCTAGAACTGAGGCAGAAATCCGAGGGCTTGACATGCCAGTTCAAAGCCCACAATCTTGTTGACGGTATTGGGAGTCAGATCATCCACGGAGAAGCTGTAATGACGTATGATCTCGTTAAAAAAATCAGTTGTCGGCAACCTCAGATCTGCCTCGAAGATCGGAATGGGGACTTCGACCTTACCCTCTGGTGGACGAGAGATGATTGCCCTTTTCCTAGGATATTGCACCCCCTGTTCACGCAAGAAGTCGAACCGGGTTCGCAAGGCCTCGAACGCGCTTGTGGTGGCTCGATTCCGGATAATTTCATTGCCATTATCTCTTGAAGCAAGAACATGATGGAAGGGATGGTAAGCAAAGAAAAGATAGAAGCAGTTGAAGAATGGGAAACGTAAAGAGTAAAACCGTCCTTGATAAAGGAAGTTTTAAATGCAAAGCGGGAATATCGAACAGTTACCATGATGAAACCGCCTGCGCTGACGGCTCCATCACATCAGCGGACGTCAGAAACCGTCTTCGCCGAACACGTGTCTTGATCTAAGCTAGAACAAATCAGCTATGTTAGACCAACACTAATGTCTACTAGCCTATGGGACTTGTTAATGTGTCCCATTAGGAATACGTTAAAGATAACATAAGTGTTATCTTTATGACGACCTAGCTAACGGTCGCAATCCGTCCTAGGGCCAGACCCGGGTCACCGCCCTCGCGTTAGGACCCTCGTCCTCGGCACCCTCACACACAGGTCCAATCCCTGACGACAATCTCCGATCTATAATAAGACAAAACACAACTGGTCGTTTCCCAGAGCGACACGTGTAGCGCCCATGGCGTTGTCCTCTGTTTATTCTACACCAATAGCATATGACCACTAGTGGTGAACGATCCACCAAAGGGACTCCTCCACATCCTTTCGGCCCAGATGGGACAAAGGACACCGTTGAAATCATGTGCTGGGAAGAACAGATATAAAAAGACTATTCTTCTCCAGATTAAGGGATCGCATTCTCTCTATCCAAAACTCTAATCACCTTATTCTCGAACACATACTAACTAGACCGTTGGAGCTTCGTCTCAGGACCACCTCCCGGACGTCGACTGAAGATATCTCTTTATTGCTGTGATTACAGGATTCAACCAAACCGGAATCATCGAGTGACGTTTTTAAGTCCAAAGCTCATATCGCAACACTCATCACTCATTATTAGATAATTGTTTTATAGGAAATATGTACGTTATAGTTCGAAACTTTACTTTGAAACAAATATATAAAAATAAGTTATAATATAAAATTCAACAAGATATAAATAACATATTATTACTTTTGTTGACATAAAAATGTCCAATGTAATATAATGCTAGACATTATATGATCATATTATTAATATAAGGCTAGACGTTATAATATGTGGTTTTAAAATTCATATACAACTCTTTAATAATAATAAATCATTTATAAAATTAACTAACGATAATAATAATGTATAGTAACATAAAGTTATAAATTATATTAGGTTACCTTAAAAACAAATGTTGATATTTTAAATAATCATTATGATTGAAATTAAAAAATATCAAATAAATTTTTATTTTTAAATTAATCATAAAAATACTTGTTTCTTTAATGTAATATAGTTTTAACGAAAATAAAATTTCTACCTAAGATTTTAGTTTTGTGCAACTTTTTAATAATAATATCCTAGTTTTATAAGTCATATACAACTCTGTAATAATAATAAGATATTTTGAAAATTAATTAACAATAATATATAATAACTTAAAATTATAAATTACATTACATTAAATTACCTTAAGTACAATGATTGATATTTTATATAGTCATCATGATTAAAATTAAAAAATGTTCAAATAAATAGTTTTTAAATTAATTATTGCTAACAATAGTTAAAATTCAACCAAATCAAGAATTATATTTAATTTTATTTATATGCAAGCATGTATATAGATGCCATGGAATAATGTGATTGTAATATATGTTTATCTTATCATATTTCTCAAAATAGTTACATTTTTATGTATCAACGAAATGTAAAAATTATTATTGTATAGTTAATAAAAATGACAAAATCTTTTTCAACCACACATATTTGTCAAAATTTTAACTTGCCCAATGCACATACATTCACATACTATCTCTTAAAAATAGGCTATAAAACTCTATGTGGTTCAAGATAAACAATTTTTCTTACACTATTTCATTTGAAATTCCCCAAACTTTTAACTTTCAACTATTTCCATTATCACTAAAGAGTTTTTTTAACTTATATATATTTAAATCATACTAATTTTAAAAATAAACTGCATGAAAAATTATTTTAATTATAAAACTCTTCAACTTTCAACTAATTAATCATTACAACTCCAAAGTTTTTTTTTGACTTATGATACTTAATTGATACTTATGAAACCTAATTGGTTTATATATATATATATATATATATATATATATATATATATATATATATATATATATATATATATATATATATATATATATATATATATATTATATGAAGATAATGTTGCTAGGGTTTAAATAACCATATGGAGGGAAAGATTTCATGATAATACATAAAAGCTCTACTTTGAGGTGTGTGTATTAATATTGAATGGGAAATAGGTAGGCGTGACTTTGGAAGATGTCAATTTGTATAAACCAACTCATTTGTTAATACTTATTCTTATTGATCACGTGGTGTTCTTAGAAGCTATGATGAAGATTATGAGTTTAATATATGTACTTTTTAAATTTTTATAAGTCCCTCAATCCCATACATAACATTAGAAATTCTTCCATCCCAAGGCACGAAGTGGTCAGAAATCTTAATCACTAGTTAGGGATCACAAGAACCCGAACCATCACCAAGTTTAGTCATCCTATAGGAGTCAGATCATACGATCAACTCTCAAAGAATCAAACATCTCTACAACCTTAGGAGTTAATGGGTCCTCATTTACCAATATCCATATCAATTTTCTCTTAGCATTGTCCTAGGCATAACGAGAGATGATATCCTCTTTTATGTCAATAAACAAGTCTAACTAAGACCTTTTAGTCTTACCCCACTAATAGAAGAACTACCAACCGACACTTTAGAATCTCCTCCCACTTTAAACTCCAACAATAAATTACCACAAGTATCACCCGTAAATACTCCCTCATTGCCCCTCTACATCCAAAGTCCGAACACCGACATTTTTCTCCACCAAGGCATGATTCCTAAAGGCGATGGACAGAGGAACCCTATCCACTAAAGGAACCCACTTGATGTTGTAATTCACTCTTAAATGTTTTGGCCAAAACATTAGTAAAATGAATAGGCATTGGATAGCCTGAAAAAACAGGTTAGGTAAAAGGAATAACACACACGCATAAGACATAAAATAGATACCCACCATCTTTTTTCTTTACAGAATTCATACATTTTTGCATGCAAATGCGATGGAGTGCTCATCATAACACCAACAAGGATACATTTAGTAAGGTCTTTGCGTATGACAATGTGATACGTGTGGAATGTACTAGTTTAATCCTAACTAACTTAAACAGAAAAACAAACACACGGAAGGCAGTGTACCTATCGATTAGTAGTTTAGTGTAGGCAAGTAGGGTATCGAACACAGGGAATGGTAAACAATTAAAATATTACTAATATTATATAAATAAAACAATTATTAAAAGGGAGGTTTTTCTCTAGTTTTGCAAAACTAGAAACTTAATCAATTTCTAAGCAATTAGCAAAGAACAATTAACAACTAAAAGAGAGACAAAAGACAACTAGATTCAATAAGATTAAAGAGACTTCCGTTTAGATTCGATTCACTTATTCCTATGGTTGATTTCGTGGCAAGTGCAATGGATTAATATATCATCAATTACCGATTTCTAATGTGATTAGGTTCATGTTCACTATTACTAATCCTTTAGCAAATAAATCAATTCAAACAGTGATCAAGTGATTAAATCAAAGAAATTACCAGTGTTCAATCCGAATCAAGCAAGACTTGTAATAATAGTTAATCAAATTGGTTGGTTCAATTAACTCATATATGGTTGGTCATCATACATGCTCACACATTAACTTATTTATTCTCTAGTTAACCCTAGGTTATATTCACAACACTAGCCATACAATCTTGTTTTCACAAAACCATAAGATTCAAGTAATCAAGCAGATGTTCATACAACTCAATATACTTAGTCATTAACAAAAAATAATTTTCATTAACACATAAGGATCTTTTAACAAGCTTAACAAGATAAATAACCA